GAGTGAGTGAGTGAGTTACGCCGAAACCGCGCGCGAGGGCAGGAAAGACCACTGAGGGGAGGGGAACAACCGGATCAACACACTCGTACTCCTAAGCCGACGGTCCCCCAATTCAGTTTCCCCATCCCCGCCCGGACGAATACATATACACATACATGCATGCAATCAACAAACTGTGACATGACATCTAATCATCCATGGACCTTCGACATCACTTGTGCGCACCACCAGCTCCCATCACTCGGGGCTTCACACACACGACATGCATAGACAAAGCAGCAATGGAGATAAAAGCGAGTCCTTCTTGTACACAAAAATTTCAATTAACTGCCGCCCCCAGGCGCAGCCTTCAAAACTCCCCAAGACCACCGACCACCATAGCCACAAGGCCCTGCCGCGGCCGGCGTCCAATCCCCACYACTGCTCMGTCCCTCCGACTGCTTCGCCCCGAGACTACCGCGGGTCCACCCCATGTCGTCACTCCGCCCGTCCTTGGGCTCGTTGAGCCTGTTCGACGCCGCGGACTCTCGCGCATAGCTCGCGCAGCATTGCAGCCGAGATCAAAGAGAGAGAGAGGAGAGGGTTGCGCGAATTTATAGCGCGGGAGACGGCGGGTTCTCAGCGTGAGGTTGTAGATGAGCAGGACAAGAGGAAGGTGGGGAGTTAGAGGGTTCGACCCGCGAGATGGCATTGTCCTACGTGATTGGGGTGTCCATTCAAGTGGCGCGTGATTTCCCGCTGTCTACATTGATCCGAGCATCCCAACTACGCAGCCAATCACTTCGCGGGGTAAGGATCGAGCTGGGCGGAGGGGAAGACGAAGAGTCCGTCATGGAGAAAATGCGCGCAGCAAGAAGGGAAGATGGCGCGAGGAGGCAAAGCAAGAAACGGGGATGCGAGACGCGCGAAGAAATCGGAGCTTGGGCGCGCGCGCAAAAATTCAAAAGTCCCAACCGTACCCGTTTATTGGTTTTCATACCGCGGTCGCTATTCGCCCGCGGGAGTTATTAACCAAACAAAATGAAAAAGCCGTTTCAAAAAGAAAAAAAAAAAGCAAGAAAAAAGAAAACCCCTTTCTATCCGCGCCCGTACTTCGGGGTTTCCGCGGGATTTTTCACCAGGGATACGGCAAGCCGCGCGGTACGGATCTGAGCTTATCACATCTGTGATACGCAGGGGGTTCCGAAAAATTAGCAATCTCCCGACTGCTGATGTCATCATATCTTGGATGATCGGGCGGCCTCTTCATCGTCAGCTGGCCCGATCATCTTCCTAATCTACATGGATGCATCCTGCATCCTCCATTGCCTCCTCCCATAGTATACATTCGGTTGGGCGGCCCCTTCATCGTCAGCTGGCCCGATCGGTAAGTAAAAAGATTTTTTTTTTTTTTTTTTTTTTTTTT